AGAGCTCTTTGAAAGTGTCTGTCGTGATCCTAAAGACGTAGCACTAGAAATTTATTAGGACGAAATATGACACGTATGTATATGTATGTCTCAATACTGAATAACGTATGTTGACGTAAGATTCCAGGATAGATAAATACCTCAACTTAATTACTGATCTCAAGAGCTTTTTGCGTAAACGGTACTTTTTACCTACGAAAATGAATAAAAACACAAAATGTCAATATTTTTTTAACAATATCTTAGACACAGAAATCATATCAAAAAATGTTTTAATTCCCTGAAATCCCACGTACCTCCACAAATATATTTCCAGGATGAGCGTCTACTCAGTGTATATTATTAGCGAGTCCGGTTCCCTCCAAATGTATTACGATCGAAGTACTCCTACAACAAAAGTAGAAAAAACTCTTTCATATCCCCTCCCGCTCGTTTTTAAAAACGTCGACGGAAAACTAGTAGTTGACTTTGGCGCTACTGATGACATCAAAGTCGGCTATTGTGTCCTCGGTGTGAATGGTGTGCCTGCGAAAGGCTCTGTATTAGAAGATGGACGTGACATACTCGAGGTAAATGTTTGCACATAACCGGCCTATATGTAGGGGAGTTTCTATTGTACTATGCTGATATTTGCTAGGCCCGTATTCTTTTTAATTTTGAGGGCTTATTTATTTTTCCCACCAATTGAAGCGCTTATAATGGATGTATTTATAAGCTCAATAGTACCGTTGCCCCGTAGCAACTCTATATCAGGGCGATAGTGAGTAACTGTATAAAAATTTGCGATTGATACGTCCAATTATCCATAACGGTATCCACAGGTCCGGATATTATGCCGGATTTCATAGCGGATATTGGTCAAAATGTCTGCATGAATTCCGTACCGAAGAAGTCTGGATGCTCTGCCGTACCTCGATAGGAGTAGGGCAGACCTTCGTTCGAGTCATGGTCGCTATTAAATGCCTGCGCTGCATGCGTTCGAACCCCACCCCCTGGCAGTAATCCCTTCCATTTATAGTAAAAATAAAGGCCAGTATATTGTCGTATTAATTATTTTTAC